TCTATCTATCTATCTATCTATCTATCTATCTATCTATCTATATATATATATATATATGTATAGAGAGAGAGAGAAAGGACCTCAGCAGTCATCCAGCCCAGCCCCCATATTTTATAGATGAGGAAACTTCAGCAGAGAGAGATGAAATTACTTCCCCAGAGTCCCACAGGTTGTAGTGGCAGAGCCAGGATTAGAACCTAAGGCCTCCAATCACAAACCCAAGCATCCTTTCCACCAGGGCAGTTGGCAGGGTTTGAAGCAGTAAATGTAGAGGAACCTGACACAGGAAGAGGGAGGGGCAATGTGGCCAGGGAGAAAGGATGCTGGATTTGGCATCAGAGGCCCTCAGTTTACAATCCCAGCTCTGCTTGTTACTGCTGGTATGACCTTGGGCAAGTCACTTCTGCTCTCTATAACTAATTTTACTCATTTGTAAAATTAAGAGATTGGACCAAATCACTTCTAAGGTCCTTCCCAGCTTTAAATCTCTGAACGTGGGGTGTGACGGGTCAGAGTTTAGAAACAGGGCCAGGCTGTGCGGTTTTGCAGATCAGTCCCTAGCATGTTGACTTGCGCAGCACCAGCACATGGACATTGGTTGACCTATAGCCATATCCTTTATTACCATGTTGGTCTAACTATAGGAGGTTCTAATGGGCTGTACCTCTCAAAAAAATCTCTTTGAAAGGAAAAATGTATATAGTCACACATGAAAATTAACTACTGTTCACCAGTTTGGGATATAAACAGGACTTACTCCCACACACAGTCCCTCTCCTAGAATATAAACAGGCTTTTCAAACCAAGACTGATAAGGATGAGTCACTCTCACTAGTTCCACCCTATCCCACTTGTCTGTCTTTTGTCTCTCTGCTTCCAGAGTCTAGAAGGTTTTTATTAAGAGGATTTATTCTGTGAAGTTTGGATTCAAAGACCTGCAGTTGAGGATCTAGAGGACCACATGTGGCCTCAAGGCCTCAGGTTCCCAACCTCTATATCTAGACCATTTCCTGGCCTAGTTCAATTCTTGGAAAGCCAACGGCTCCATGGAATCAACCAAGCCCAACTCCCTCCCTCTCTCTTCTTCTCTCTTTTTTCTCAGAGATCCATTGAGTCCCCAGGAATCACCTCTGCATCTGCAGATAGCAGTCTCAACCTCATTTAACCAGAAAATAATAATAATTATGATGATGATAGCTAGTATTTACATATAGCTCTTCTTATTTAATCCTCAAAACAGTACTTTGAGGTAGTAGGTGTATTATTATCCCTATTTTACAGAGGTTAAAGTGACTAGCCCAGGGTTACATAGCTAGTAAGTATCTGAGGAAGGATGTGAACTCAGGTCTACCTAATTCTGAGTCCAGCATACTATCTACTGGGCCACCTAGTTACCTTAGAGTAGAGAACAGAGCTCTGGCCTGGGATAAATGGCATATTGTTTAGGAAGAGGGATGGCCGGGGTCCTCATTAGCCTCAAGGACCAGGTGGAGAATGGGAGAGGTGATGACTTTTGAGAGGAGGTCCCTACCTCTAAAGAGCAGGAATGCAGGCAGTTCCTAGGAGTACAAAGGCAGAAAGCGTCTCTGTTCCCTTTCAGAACCATCTGGGAAAGTGTCCCCACACAGTCTCCTCCAGAGGGTATGTGTGGGACAGTGAGGGAGATGTTCCTACTCATTCTACCCTTCACAATTCACAGAATTAAGAGCAAGAAAAGATTTGAAGAGATGCTGCTACCGAGTTTTGTGAGTTTTAAATGTGTCCATGGTACCATAAGCCAGATTACAGACCACACCCAAGTCTTATACATGCAGATTTGGGAGAGAATGTAGCTTATACTTGGATCAATACAGTATACCTAAATTTCTCAAATAAGTCTATCTGTCTCCTTCCCTAAAATATGTATATTTTAAAAATTATTTCATGTACTCCTGGAAGCCTGCTCTTACTTGGGCAGAACACAGATGATTTTTATTAAATACAGCTGACATTTATATAAATGGTTTAAGTTCTTTGGTGCACTTTACATGCATTATAATTTCATTTGATCCTCACAACAATCCTGTGAGGTATTATTTTCTCCATTTTACAGACGAAGAAACTGAGACTCAGGAAAGTTCATAGATCAAAAGAGCATAGATTTAGAGGTGGAAGGGGCCTTATGAGCTGTTTAGTCCAGCCCCTTTATCAGAGGAGAGTGTGGCTTATATATGCATTATAGTGGGCAGGTCATTCAGCTAGGAGTCTAAACTTGGAGTTGGGAAGAACTGGGTTCAAATCTTGCCTCTGACATTTACTACCCAGGGAACTTTTAGGAAAGTCATTTAACCAAAGTGTTGGACTTGAAGTTAGGGAAACCTGGGTTTGAATACCACCTCTAACACTTAATACCTACATGACCCTAGTCAAGAGAAACTTAAATAACTTGCCAAGGGTCCCAGCCAGTAAATGTTGGAGGATGGATTTGAACCCACGTCTCCCTAACTCCAAATCCAGCACTCTAGTTAAAAGATTTCCCCAGGAGACATACAGCCAGTAAGAACATATAAGAGGCAAGATCTGAACCAACTGGGCTCTCTGTGCTGCTAGGCAATCTTACCATACCTCACTTACCAGGTCACTATCCCACCCTCCACAGTGGCTCTTCCATAATTTTACATCCCTCCTCAAACCTCCCATGGCTTCCCCTACCCCCACTGTCTCAGTTGAGAACGCAGCCTCATGTTTTACAGAAAAAAGCAGATCATTAGCCGTGAGCTTCTTCTCCTTCTTTCTCATCTCCTGTCACTCAGGTGCCTTCTGTCACTATCTCCTCCTTCACTCCTATCTCACGTGATGAAGCAGCCTCACTCTTTACCAAAGTTAATCCCTCTTTCATTCTATCCTATCTCTTCCAACAGATTGCCCCCTCTCTCATTCCCATTCTTTCACTTATTTTCAATCTCTCCCTCTCTACTGGCTCATTTCTTTTTTCTTTCTTTTTAAGGCATTTGGGATTAAGTGACTTGCCCAAGGTCACACAGCTAGTAAATGTATGAGGCCGTATTTGAACTAACATCTTCCCTACTCCAGGGCTGGTGCTCTATCCACAGTGCCACCTAGCTGCCCCATGGCTCATTTCTCACTGCCTACAAACATGACCAGGTCTCCCTGAAAAAAACTTTACTTGATCCTTCCATCCTCATTATAGTTCTCTATCTCTTCTGACCTTTACAGCTGAACTCCTCTGAAAGGCTTCTACAATAGGTGCCTCCACTTTCTCTCCTCTCACTCTCTTCTTAACCCTTTATAATCTGGCTTCCAACCTTATCATTTCACCAAAACTGCTTTCTATATCGCCAGCACTTAGCACAGTGCCTGGCACACAGCAAGCAATTGATAAATGTTTATTGATTGTTGGAACCCAGGTCTTCCCAATTCCAATTCCAGCTCTCTATATAAGGGATTGTCTCCTCTTTGTATCCCAAGTATTCAGCACAGTGCCTAACACATTGTATGCACTTAATAAATGACTGCTGACTGCACAACTGATTCAGAACTCTAGTTAAGTGACTCTTAATAACAGCTAATAATTACTAACAGTTATATAGTACTTACTAGGGGCCAGGCACTGTACTAAACACTTTACCAGTATTATCTCATTTGATCATCACAACAACCCTGGGAGGTAGGTGCTATTACTATCCCTATTTTACAGATGAAACTGAGGCAAACAGAGGTTAAAGAGACTTGCAAAGGGTCACACAGCTAGTAAGTGTCTGAAGGCAAATTTGAACTCAGGTCTTCCGGATTTCAAGCCCAGTACTCTATCCACTGGGTCACCTACCTAGCTGCCTCTGATGTTCAAAGCCAGTCTTCTTAAATCTCATTCACCCCTACATACTCTAGATCCAGTGACACTAGACCCCATGTTGTTTCTGGAACAAGACACTCCATCTTTCCACTCCAATGCAGGTTCCTTGTTTCCCATGCCTGGAGTGCTCTGCCTCCTCATCTCCACAGGCTTCCCAGGCTTCCTTCTATGGGGTGGTCTCCAGTCATCCTGATCTGCATCTCGCCCCTGGACCCAGATGGCTCCTTAGGAGAGAGTGAAGCTGGTGACTTTGCACAGCCCTCCCTCACTTAAATCCAATTCACTTGCAGGGCATGGAGTCATTTTCCTGATGTCACAGTCCTCTTCCAGAACAAAGGACCAATAACAACAAAAATCTCTCTTTTTGCAAGAAGCCTTTCCTTATGCCATATAATGCTCATGCCATCTCTGTGGATTACCTCCTCTGTGTCTGGCTTGCTTGTACTGGGTTGTTTGCATGTTGTCTCTCTGTTAGATTGTGAGCAACTTGAGAGCAGAGACTGACTTTACCTTCCTTTGTTCTAGTGCTTATTACAGTTCCTGATGTATATTAAATGCTTGACAAATTACTTGTTGACTTGACATGATTTGCCCACGGTCATGCAGCACGTAAGCATCAGAGAAGGGATTTGAACTCAGTTTTAACTCCAGGTCTAGCATTCTAGTTAAATGACTTGCCCAGGGGCACACAGCTAGTAGGTGTCGGAAAGGGATTTGAATCCAGGACTTCCTAACTCCAAGTCCAGGACTCTATCCACCGAGCCATGCCACTTTGCCACCCTGCCTTTCTTTGCGGCGGCTGCTACAGATACAGAAAAGAAAACAACAACCACAAAAAAACAACTGGGGGCCGCAGTCCTTAAGAAATGTCCGCTCGATTACAGAAGATGATGTCACCTCCTTAGCCCCCACCCCGAAATCCCGCCTTTCTAAGTTCCCGCCTCTCCTCTCCCTTCCCCCTCCCATCTCGTCTCCCTAAGACTCCGTCCCCAGCCCACGGGTTTCCACCGCCCTCCGCTCCGGTCCCACCTTTTTCCCCGCCCCTGGGACGAGCCCAGGACTGTTCGGCCAATGATCGGCTCACTCTCCACAATTACCCCGCCCCCGTGATGCCACTTCCGCTCCTGCGCTCTGAGGCCCGCTGTGGCCCCGCCCCCCTCCGGGCTCCGGCTCTGCTTGTTGAGCCCCTCGGGCCCCGCCGGGGCCGAGAGGGAGCGAGTGAGCCCGGTGGGAAGCGAGGGCGGGAACTGCCGAGCCTCCGGCCCCAACAGGTAGGAGGGCGCGAGTTGGTCAGGATCAGGCTTTAGGACCGGGAAGTAGTAGTCCAATGCCTGCCTCGCTCCCCTGGGGAAACTGAGACCCGTCCCCGCCCCCACCTGGGGAGCAGCGGCTGGTTCCTTTTTGTCCCCGTCTCCGCAGAGCCCGGCAGAGAGCCGGTGCTTCAGTTGTTGATTTGAGTGGGGGGCGGCAAGGTTTGGGAGCCCTGGGACCTGGGTTCGGATTCTGACACTGCCACCTTCTGTGGGACCTTGGGCAATTCCCTTCTTTCTGGGCCTTGGTTTTCTCATCTGCAAAAAGAGAAGGGTTGGGGATGGACTAGATGAGGAGTAACCTGGGATACACCACCGGAGAAAGCCTGTCAACGGGGTGTGGGGGATATTCTGGCAATTAACTGTATTACCCTATCGCACTTAATCTATTTTATTTCATATGTGGATATCCATGGCAAAGCCTAGTCTTTGTTTCCTTTTGTAAGGAATTAGTGGATTTTGGAAGGTTTTGCACATGCGTAATAAACTCTGGAATGCCCTAGGATCGTGGATTTAGAGCTGGAAGGGACCTTGGAGGCCGTCAGATCTAACCCTCCCTCATTTTACAGATGTAGCGAGCAAGACTGGTTATTAAATTAGCGGGGTATGGGAACATCTTATGCCCATGTGCATGGTACACTCGTGAAAGCCTCAGCATCCTAGATTGAGAGGTAAAAGGGACATTGGAGGACATCAAATCCAACCGCCCCCCTCCCCATTTTATGGGTTTAGAAACTTAGACTGATGATTGAATTGGAGGTATGGGAACGTTTTTTGTTTTGATTTGGTTTTTTTTTTTCCTTATATGCATGGTAAACTCTAGCATTTCATAGGATCCTGTATTTAGAGCTAGAAGTCCCAATCTGTCATTTTAGAAATGGGAAGCAGACGGGGCATAGGAAAGTCTTTTTTTTTTTTTTTTGGTAAATATGCTTGGTAAACTTTAGAATTTCCTTTCATATTGAATAGAAAGTATAAGAAGGTTTACTGAAGGTCAGGGGGTATAGGGATAAAAAAAATTGAGAGCTCCCAGGCTAGATGACTTCTGAGGTCCCTTCCAGCTCTAATGAGGGGGAAGGAGAGGGAGGGGAGGCTGGCATTGGCATCCTGTTCCTCTTCTGTGGTCTGTTCCTTAAGAGGACAACTCTGGATTTCTAGGAGAAGGTAAAGCCATGGCTAAGAAATGATCTCTTGTGTCTAGCAGAAAAGTAACATGATTTGGCTGGACTAGTTGATAGCAGAGCCCTTCCATTTCTAAACCCTATGACACCATGAGAAAGATTTGCCAAGGTAATAGTCAAGAGGTACTGAGATGAGAAGAGACTGCTTTTCATGCAGTTTTTTGGGGCGTGTGTGGGGAGTAGGGTTGAGAGAAGGGATACCAAACTGGACCTAAGGTGGTTTTGAGGGGAGCTGTTTTGCAGTAATTTCCTTGACGGGGTATCCTGGCTAGTGCTGGCAGGAGAGCATTAAGACGTATCTCAGAAAAGTCCAAGAGGAAAATTATAGATTCTGTGATTCATGTTCCCCTAAAGTATAGCATAGAGGGTGAAAGGGTAGAGGGAAAAAACTAACACTAATCCTTCTTGTTTCTTTTTCTTGTTAAATAAGCAAAAACCGGGAACATGGAAGAGAATAAGCGATCACTTCCTGCCCCTACTACTATGTTTGCTGATGGGAGTTTGATCCTGTGGACTCTTTGCGCAGTGTTGGTGCCCGTGTTGATCACCTTGTGGTGTAGCTTCCAGAGATCCCGGAGGCAGCTTTACCAGAAGGACATTTTCCGCAAGAGCAAACACACCTGGCGGGACACAGACCTTTTCAGCCAACCGACGTACTGCTGTGTGTGCTCCCAGCACATCCTCCAGGGTGCCTTTTGTAACTGTTGTGGGCTGTGCACTGGTGAAGATTGCCTCAAGAAAGCAGATCGCCGGTTCCAGTGCAAAGAGATCATGCTGAGAAGTGAGAAGATTGACCAGAATGGCATGGATCACCATTGGATCCGTGGCAATGTCCCTCTCTGCAGTTACTGTTTTGTTTGCAAGCAGCAATGTGGTAACCAGCCTAAGCTCTGCGATTACAGGTATTGCAGTTGGAAGGCGCAAGGTTGGGATGATTGTATAATGTCACGAGGAAGCCTGCTTTGATCTCTGCTAATGTTCCAGGGCTGGGTGCGTTCATGAAGCAGGCTAATTAGCATCACTGGTATGACGCATCTCACCAGCATTGACGATGGACTGCAGTGACAAATAAGGGAACCATTCAGTGAATGTACAGTATGTGTCTCATGCTTCTGATCCAGTTCAGCCCTAGAGCAAGAGTTGGGGATAGGGTTAGAAAAATATTAAATATTTTCTCAAGATTGTAAAACTAATTTATTCTTAATTCAGAAGCCTGCTAGTCACCACATAGATCAGAAAAAATATCCGTATTCTAAGTGACGTTCTTAGCACATTAAAGTTGTTGAGAGTCACCATATGGATGTTATTGACAGCCTTATTTGCTTAAGGAGGCTATAGAAAAGTGATTCTTTTGACAGATGGTCTTTATGTCCGCTTAACAGATTTCACTGTATTAATAATTAGTGACTTTGACTAGGCAAAAAGACCTTATAATGAATTCTGTGCACTAGTGCGAGTTAACCACATTCTTGTTCTTCATTGCTTCTCTGTGCTAGAGTTTGATTTTATGAGTACCATCTGAAAGGAAAAGTGAAAACAATTTAGTTCCTCCTCTGGTGTGTTTTATTGGAAGCCACAAGGTTGTTAAAAAGTGTTAATTTTTGTACTGGGAAAGAGTGCTGGACTACAGTCAGGAGAGATTTGGGTTCAAATCATGCCTCTGATACTTGTGTGACCATGGCCAAGGCCCTTGATTCCTTTGAGCCTGAGTTTCCTGTACGAAAAAAAAATGGCTGTACAAATCATTTCAACAGATGTTATTAAACAACTGCTCTGAGCTAGGCCCTGAAGATTCAAAGATAAGACTGTAGCAGTTAAGGATCTTCTCTCCTATTGCATCTCTTGCTCTTGCCTTCTCTACAACCAAGGCATGCTGAGCAGGGTTAGAAAAATAAGAGAAACTTAGAGGAAAAAAAAGGAGAGAGAGAATGAACAAGCATCCTTCTGAATGTGTGGTTTCTAACATTCTAAGATCTCGTATGTTCAGTGCTTTGCAAACCTTAAACACTGTTTAAATATCAACTCATTATTAGAGTGGCTAGGATTTCTAAAGAGACAAATTGAGGCTCATGTAAAGAATAACTTCCTAATGATTAGAGGTATCCAAAAGTGGAAGTAGTCAGTTCCCCCTCATTGGAGGGATGACTGACAGCTTATCTGATACGGTTAAGGAGTTTCTTATTCAGATACGATTTGGGCTACATGGTCCCTGAGGTCTCTTCCCGCTGTGAGAGTTGGGGAAAGCAGGGACACTGTGTTAAATTCCTGATGCTCTTTTGGTTTTAAGACCAGTGTATGTGTGTTATGAGGAAAGGTGACATTTCTATTCAGACTCTGGTTTTTGTTTTTATTTCTAAAACCTCCTCTCATGTCCTAGGAGATTTGCAGCCGTGTGTGCTAGCTTTCAAATAGATCTGGACAGTTGTATGGTCTCTGTCTTTTCAGATTTTGGTATTCTATTTATACTTTATCCTTTTATTCTCATTGAGAGCTAGATTAGCAGTGACTTGAAATAGTTTCCATAGCTGCTCGTAGGCAGGCTTTGATTGAAGAGGGTTGGGATTAGGTTATAAAGAAGATGGTCACAAATACAGCGTTGTGATATTTCCCAGTCTTTCGCTCTGAGCAGAATTAGATAAAAGAGGTTTTCTTGAACATCTGACAAGCAGCTGATTAGGTTAGCATAAAATAATTAATTTGGAATTTTTCATAACAGGTGAACCTAAGGCTCTTGCATTCTGGATATTTATTTTTGAAAATGTAGATTTGTTCCTAGTACATTTAGGATTCATCCTGAAATCATTGCCATCTTTTCCCCTTTTACAAAGATTCTTCAGTAATAACTTCTAGAACATTTTTCATCCAATAAAATTAACAAAAACAAATTTCTTTTATGTAATTTGGTTGTCTGTATTTAATAATCAGTGGTACATGGGGGTTCCTTTTTTCAAGAATTTATTCTTAAAGGTCGCTGTGAGGAGTCTGGTTTATTTCTAGTTAGATTTACTTTTATTCTTTAGGTGTTTATAGTTCCCTGAGGGAAGGACTACATTGCTTGGAAGGGCTGCACATTTAGTAATGTTTATGCAGATTTATTTCAGCCAGGAATTTTATGCAGCATTGTAGTCTGCTGTGACTGTCTATGTGTCTATGTGAGGTGATTCAGAACAAGAAATAAAGGGAATAGATATTTAGGACTTCTGAAACAGTCCAGATTGGTTCTCAGCTTGAGTATATCTAACTCTTAAGGCAATATCTTCTAATTGCAGCAAGTTTCCCAAAATTTTAGGTTAAAAAATAGCTCTAGTAATATAAACAGTGTTTAACCAAGTGATTCATCATTGCCCTTTTAAATGTTACTGTGAAGTCAAATGTCCAATTAGGTCTAAGTAAATAAGGAAGTTTACCTTTTGCTAACCCTGAACCTCAGGACGTATTTGCTTAATCAGTCAATAAGCAGATTATATATATATATAGATATATAGATAGATAGATAGATAGATAGATAGATAGATAGATAGATAGATAGATAGATAGATAGATATCAGTAAGCAGATACCATGCCAGACAGCTAGGTTGCCAGTGGATAAAGTGCTGGGCTCATCTTCTTGAGTTCAGATTTGGCCTCAAACACTTACTAGTTGTGTGACCCTGGGCAAATCACTTAACCTTGTTTGCCTCAGTTTCCTCCTCTGTAAAATGAGCTGGAGAAGGAAATGGCAGACCACTCCATTATCTCTGCGAAGAAAATCCCAAATGGGGTCATGAAGAGTCAGACACAACTAAAAAAACTGAATAGTAACATGTGCCAGGCACTGTTCCCAGGCCCAGGGGATGCAGATACAAAGACGATGAAACTGGGGCCTAGAAAGGCAAAGACAATCAATCAACAGTCATTAGAACCAGGCATTGGGGACACAAAGAAAAGGATGAAGGTCACTATTTTAAGGAGTTTACATTCTCCTGGAGGAGACAGCATATACCTATGTGGTATATACAGACCAAATAGCAGGTGGTTTAGGGAAGGAGGCAGTAGGAGCTATCTGGAGAGACTTCATGTAAAAAGGTGATTCTTGAGCTGAGTGTTGAAGGAAGTAGGAATTTTGCGATGCCAACATGAAGAAGGAGAGTCTCCCAGGTATGGGGGACAATCTGTGTAAAGATTTAAAGACTGAAGATGGAGTGGTGTGCAAAAGGAACAGAAACAAACTCAACAGGGTATGGGAAGGGGTATGATGTACAATGAGGCAGACAACAGAGACAAGTTGGGAACCAGCTGGAAAAAACAACTGGGAAACTTATATTTAATCATAGAGGCACTAGGGAGCCACTGAAGTTTGAGTAGGGAGGTAATATGATCAGGCTTAAACCTAAGGAAAATCATTTTGACAGCTTGGTGGATTTGAGTAGGAAGAAACTTGACCACAGAAAAACCAGTTGGGCTATTACAGTGGTCAAGGCAAGAGTTAATATGGTGAGGAGGTAGCTGTTCCTGATGTGGTGGAGGAATTCAAGATCTGATTGATAGCTGACTAGATAGGGTGGATGAGGAAGAATGGGGAGTTGAGTATTGCACCAAGGTTTTGAATTAGTAACCTGGACAGAATGAGGGAACTTCAGAAGAGGGATGCATTTGAAAGAACAGATCTTATGAGTAGTGGTTTGACATGTCTATGGGACATACTGTTTGAAGTGTCCAATAGGCATTTGGTGATATTTAACTAGAGCTAAAGAAAGAGACTAGGACTTGGTCTTAGAGCCATTTGTGTAGAGATAGTAAATTTTTTTTTTGGTCAACAGTTACAAAGCTTTCATTATAATGATATTAATAGCTAGCATTTAAAATGCTCTACAAATTTATTTCATTTTATCTTCACAACAACCCTGGGACGTAGGTTCTATTTTTAACCTCATTTTATAGTCAAGGAAACTGAGGCATGCAGAGGTTAAGTGACTTGCCCACGGGTCACACAGCTAGTAAGTATCTAAGGTCAAATTTGAACTCAAGTCTAGAAATGGTCATTAAACACATGAGAACTGACAAAGTCATCAAATGAAAGAGTATGAAAAAGCACAAGACTGGGAGTCAGAAAAGCCTCAGTTCTGGTCCTAGTTCTAATACTGACTAACTATGTGACTTTGGCTAAGTCAGCTCTCTTCTCTGGGCCTCAGTTTCTTATCTGTAAAAAAGGAGGTTGGGAGTTCTACATTTTAACGTTCTGTAGGCCTGTTCTATATTCTTTATCTTAAAAGCTGGTGAATTGAACTTTTAATCTGAGCAAACAGTATTAAGTGCCGCCTGTGTTCAAGATACTGAGCTAGGTGTTTGGGATACAAAGGAAAGACCAGAGTCCCTGCCCTCAAGAAGCATCCATTCAATAAGAAGAGATAGAACACATACACATACATCTAAGTGTAATAGAAGGAAAATTGAGAAAGAGATTGAGGAGTGGGAAGGAATAATCATGGGAGGGTTCACAGACAGGGTAGCAGCTGACCATTAAAGGAAAATAATGATTCTAAGAGATGGCATTGAGAAGAGAGTGCATTCCAGCCATCAGGGATGGATCATATAGTAGGAATAAATACATGGAGGTCAAATTTGGAGGATAGGGAATGTCAAATTTGGGGCTCAGCTAGCAATCCTGTTTTGCTGAAGCAGCAAATAAATGAAAGTGTGATATGAAATAAGGCTAGAAAGTTAGGAGTCACATTATGGAGAGGGGGCCTTAAATGCCAGGCTAAGAAAACTGTGTTTCCACCTAGCAATAGGGAGTCCTTACAGAGTTTCAGGCAGAGTTGATTATCCTGTGCCTTAGGCAGGGTATTTTGGCAGTAGTGTGGAGCGTAGAATTAGAGAGGTGAAAGATTTGAAGTAGGGAATCCCATTACAATCTTAGAAACTGAGGGTGTGAACTAGTGTGGTGTCTGTGTGAGTGGATAAAGTAGAATCAACACAACTTGGCAACTGACTTGGATTGGGGAAGGAGACAGAGTCAAAGGCTGAAAACCTAGGTCACTGGGAAGATGGTGCCCTCAAGTTTTGGTAGATAAGATTTAAGGGTTGGGCAACCAGTTTTGTCCTGGATATATTGAATTACCTACAGGACATCTAGGGGAAAATATTTCTGGAGGCACAGATAATTGGCAACGTTCTGTTGTGGTTTTTTTTTTAGTACATTTATTATTGATAATTTGGCTTTTACATCACCTAAATTGCTTTTTGTATCCCTCCTTATTCCCCCTTCTAGAGAGTCATAAACCAAAAGAATAATACATAAAACAATACATATAAACAAAGAATATATTTTTAAAAGAGAAAAAGAAGAGAAAAAATAATCACCCAAACTAATATATGAAAAATATCTGACAATATATACATAGATTGTTTTCTTGGTTCTGTTTACTTATATGCTGCTCAGCATCAGTTGATATAAAGCTTTCCATGTGTTGCAAAATTCATTATATTCCTCTTTAAAGTGAAACCTTTGGATTGTATGCCTCATAGCAAAATCATGGACATTTAATAACCACTTTATTTGTATAATTCCAAAAGCAATTAAGTTGCCTTTGACTTATTTTTGAGCTTATTTTTTATACCTTTAAATTCATAGAAAAGATTCCCTTTCACTGACCTAAAATGTTATTTCACTTGGCCTCCTTTGTTTTGGTCATTGATTTTATATTTGTTTACAGTTAGAATGTTTTTAACATTTCACGTAACAGCACTCATTTTTGAAGCAAGAAAAAAGTACCAGATCCCATCTAGTGTTTTTCAGGAAGAGCAGCCTGATATAAACTGGTAGTTATTTTTAGACAAACGAACCAGCAGCGTGGCCAAGAGTTCCTTTTCCTTTTGTTAATGTATTTGTGGAAATTAGTGACAGTCATAAGCAATTTCCAGCTGACATCAGTGCTGGGATTCAACAGCTAAAAATTAACATGGGCATTATATTCATTTGTATCCTTGTGTCCTTTTAGTTCTTTTTATCTTTGGTATGTTCCTGTGATGTGTTAAGAGAGAGAGAGAGTTTTAAGATTGTATGCATTTGTAACTATATTAATGGTGAATTATTAGAAGTTTTTGTACTACTAATTTAAAGTTATGCAAGAAAATATAATTTCCTTGGTACTGATATTAGCACTATACCTTCTTTAAATCTTGAATTGATCTAGTGGTTTGTTTTAGTCATGAGATCATAGATTTTGAGCTGGAAGAGACCTTAGAAGTCATAGAGTCCAAACCTCCTCATTGCTAAATGAGGAAACTGAGGCACAGAGAAGTTCAGTAACTTGCCCAAAGTCCCACAGTTACTAAGTGTCTGAGGCAGGATTTGAACCTAGGTCTTCTTGACTCCAAATCCAGCACTATCCACTACCCCATGCTGCTCCTTAATTATTGAAAATAGAACTAACGTATTATTTAATTATAATAACAGCTAGCATTTTTGTGTCTGCCTACTTTGTTCCAGGCACTGTGCTAAGTGCATTACAACTGTTGTCTCATTTAATCCTCACAACAACCCTGTGAGGTAGGTGCTATTATTATCCCCATTTAACAGATGAGGAAACTGAGGCAAACAGAGGCTAAGTGACTTGCCCAAGATCACACATCTAGTAAGTGTCGGAGGCCACATTTGCACTCAAGTCTTCCTCTATCCACAGCTGCCTCTAATTGTGCGGGCTTTTAATTGGTAGCTGCTTTTATAGTAATTATATCAACTAATATCATAGTAAGGTTTGACCTAGCTCAAGTCAGATAAATGGGGGAGGAGATAAGAGGAATGGGTCCTAATTTTAAATACATGGTGAAAAGATCCAGAACAAAATGGAAATAGTTTTAAGTATCAGTTTAGGAGAAACTTTTAGAAAATTTAAACGAATCTTTCAGGCTGCAAGAATAACTTTCCTAAAGTACAAGCCTGACCACAGTACTCTCGAACCTTCATTGGCTCCCTATTACCTCTTAAGTACTCCACAGCCTGGAGTTTAAAGCCCATCACCCTTTTGGCATCACTGTACCCTTCCAAGCTGATCGCATGTTACTCTCGATTTTACTCCGTAGCTCAGTGAAATTGGCTATTGCCCAGATTTGGCCATTGATCCATCTCCCACCTCTGGGCCTCTCCCCAAGACTCTCCCACACCTGGAATAAACCTTGTCCTCAGCTGCCCCTCAGAACCTTCAAGGCACAATTATATTCAGCCTCCTACAGGAAGCCATTTCTAATCACTTAATTATCCTGCTTATACTTAGGGATTTACACATTGCATTAGTTATTACTCTGCCACTTAGAGTCTTTGAGAGTTAGTTGCTTGGAGCTTCAGGGGTTTTGAGGACTTGACCTTTGTCCTTCATCCAGAATGGGTCACAGGCAGGGCTTGAGCTCAGGGTTTGCTGACTGCTAGGATGCTCTCCCAATGCATTGAAGCCACACTGCCTCTCACCTTGCATGTAAGAGGCAATTCAGATGTTTGTAGAATTGAAGCAAGTTGTCATGTGTACAATTATGGAAAAGGGTTTATGGAAATAGACACTTGGTAAAAGAAAGTAATAATTTATATCATATGAAAAAGAAAATGCTCATCTTACATGTCTGATTAATTTCACTATCATTGTTTCCCCTGGGAAAGGGAATAAACTAGGGGGGAAAAATCTTAAGAGTTGACAATTTATGTGCAGTCATAAGGCTGAAAACTTCTACTATCATTTTAATAGTTAGTAGTGGTAAAATGGAGGATGGCATTATACTTCCAATTTACAAGAAAAAGCTTAAATCTTTTCCAGCCGTTGCCCAAACCACACTTTCACTCAGGTCAAATACAAAGCTGCTCTAAAAGTTACCCTCAAGTTTCTTCTCTTTGGGTCATAGAAAATGCTAGTTCCCTTCTGTGAGCAAGAAAGATGGCTTCTTGGTCCCACTGTTCCTGACCTCATATTGAATTCTGACACAAAAAAAACAAGAGGGTTGTGTTCAGAGTGAAGCCAAATTCATTTTCTTCCTTTAATCACCACTGATTCTTATGCCTCTCTTTGTAGAGTTTGTAGAGTTTTTTGTGAATGGAAATTTGGGACCTTCATCCTACTGGCTGAGGGTTCTAGGTCATTATAGATGGGACAAACCCAGGAAGAGAATCTGTTTGTAAACTTGTCTCATTTCACCTTGCAATGTATCAATGATGTCCTGTTGTTAGTTTTTAACCTTGTCTCATCTCTTTCTCATCATTGCATGGCTAAAAGTTGACTGTGTTTTATTGCTCTCCCTGGATTGATTTGTTTTTCCAGTATCACAGAGGTTGAAATATGCAAACATGCTACAATATTCACTATTTCCAAAGTATTTTTAGGGTGTTTAGAAGCTATTGTTACAAAATTCTTGTGATGATTTATACAGATTTGGTGATAGATTCATTTTGCTTTTAATCAGAAAAGACACCCAGTTGATGAGGAGTCCCAAAACAATTGTCTGTTAAATTGAATGAGAGCATCTGAACTTTTGACAGTCTCTATAAAAATTTAATTTTCCTGCATATTCTCTTCTACAGGTGCATTTGGTGTCAGTGCACAGTACATGATGAGTGTTTGGAAAGCCTAAAGGATGAAAAGTGTGATTTTGGAGAATTTAGAAGCCTTATCATTCCCCCAGGTTATTTGAATAACATCAGTCGGAGGGGTACAGACAAAAAAACTGATTATGTTAAGGTACTTACCATTCCTGTTGAAATAGCTCTCTAAGATGTCCTACTGTGAGCTCAGGGTTAGGGTAAAAGTTCAGCATCAGGCTTTGCACATAAATGCCTGGCCAATCTTCAGTCTGAGCCTGAGGACCAAAATATCCACAGTCTTTTCTGTGTTTAAGATTTACTACATCTATTAGGAAAGATACAATCACAGAACAAGTTAGAGTCTTAGAGAGTTACCTAGGGTGCTCAGAGGTCAAGTGACTAAGCTAGGATCCCACAACCACTGAGTATCATGGGCAGAACTTGAACCTATATCATCCTAATTGCAAAGCTAGCCCTCTGTGCAGCTATAAATACTACTAAATGTGTGTATGTTTATTAAAAATATATATACTTTGTAACACTCCTTGAAATGACTAGAAATACCCTGGGGTGTCATCAAGTCAAAGGTAAGAATTACTGAACAAAGCTGTGACCTAGAGTCATAGTGGATATATCTCTGAAGAAGAGAAATAGAAAGGGAGAAAAGTGGTTAAATAATAGGAAATAAAAGTATCCTTCTCCTGTATTTGCATCAGGGATTTTTAACCTACGGCCCATGAACTTTTTTTTCCTCACATTTTGGCAATTTCCGATATGATTAGTTCCCTAGGTAATCCTCATGTATTTTATTTTTTGCATTTAAAAACAGTTTTCTGAGAAGGGATTAGTGCACTTCACCTAAAGACTGCCAAAACTGTTTGTTGGCTCAATAATCATGGCACATAAAAGGTTAAGAACCTCTGTGTAGCAGCCATCAACATCTAGTATATTGAGTTCCATTCCAGTTACCACATTTTAAGAGGCACTGACATTCAGGGGAGGGAGTAACTAAGATGGAAATGGGTCTGGAAACCATGTCATGAGGAACAGTTGAACTGGGATGTCCACGTTGAAATATGAGAAGGCTCAGGGAAGAAGAATGAGGCTAGTGAGAAGAATGGTATAGCAATCTTTCCTATTTGAGGCATGAAAAAGGAACTATATTTGTTGAAGTCCCTAAGGACAGAGCTAGGACAATGGCTGGAAGTTAGAGGGAGGTAGCTTTGGGCTCACGATACAGAAGAATTTAACAATTGGAGTTGTGCAACATTGAAACAAGCCACCTCATTAGCATAGTGCCATGCTAAATAAATCATTTTTTCGTTCATGAACTTGTAAGCTACCTGTCACCAGAATATTCTTAAGATTCTGGAAACCATTTATTAGAGCTAATGTAGCTGTGATTTCTTCGTTGTCTGGGAGGTTGGACTAGACAACTTCAGGTCTTTTCTCCTTCTAAGATCTATGCTGGTATGCTGTAGTGTTGGTACTAAGAATTCTACATCTGTCTCTCAGCACACTATAGAAAGCAATGATCACTTTCAAAGCACAGGTTTTATGATAGCAGGGAATGGAAAATTCGCTTCTTACTACCTCTTATCTATTACACTTATTTCTTTGTGTGTTTTTCTTTCTGTAGTTGGCCGTACCCTTTGGAATGCAGTGGACCCCAATAATTGTCCTAGCCAATACTCGTAGTGGAAATAACATGGGGGAAGGCTTACTGGGAGAATTTAAGATGCTACTAAATCCAGTCCAGGTAACTGTTGGAAAAGTCTTGGTTGTTGAATTCTTGTTCTCAAATACACTGTTCGCCTTTATAAATGTTAGCCATTTCATTGTAGAGATGAGCAATAAGTACAAATGAATTATGTGTAATTTTAGAGTACTGAGTCTACTTGTATTTATGGCTGCCATCTTTAGTTGTTGAAAAACCACAGTACATCATTCAGAAACAGAGTTTTTTGAGTAAAGGTACTGAAAATGCAAAACTGTGAAGATGGTCTTCAAACTTACCTTATTTTAATGGTTCTATGCTCTCAGCAGTGAGGAAGCTCTTTCTAACAGAGCAAATAAAAGCCTATCCACACCTCATTCTGTGTAGACCCCCAAAGGACTTGGCGCTTTCCTCTCCATTTCTGAACATGGGGTAGCTGCCAGTGGAGTTCCCAGGCCGACTGCCATTGGTTACCCCTTGCTCATTCTCTGTGGCCATCCCACCACGTTTTCAGGACGTACATCTTTCTAATGAAATCCTTTGTAACACTTTTTCTGTGCAATGATTGGTAATGTGTTTTAGTGTACTGATTCCCACCATGCATCTCTCCATTGCCCTTTGGAGGCCCCAAAACTTTTATTCTTCCCAGACTGTAGCATTTTATGACTCATAGCTGTGTGATATCACTGGAAGAATGTTGACATTAAAAAGGTGAGCCTTTTTTCATGGAGAAGTTTTGGGTCATTAAAATCCCTGTTCAGTTTCCCAGAGGCAATCCAATATGTATCCATTCTGTTCAGTTCAGGGCCTAGTTCATTATCCATTTGTGGTTTCTGGCCAAACTATATATACTGCAGTCTAAATATTCCTTGCCCATGAATTACAAGCCATACCTCTAAAATGAAGTATTTTAGGAAGAGGAAAAATACACGGGCATAGGACAGTTTTATGAGCAACATTTGGTTGCAGGAGTGAGGGAGTAGATTGTATTTCATATCAGTAGCTGCAATTACAAACAAAAGAACCTTTACATTTCATATAACAAGGACCTTCTTTTTAGCTACACCTAGACATATGAACATAAATCACTATCAGTGAGTCATCTTTAGATTTGAAAGCTACTAATTCATAAGATCATCTTTGGTATTCTTTTCTCTCAAGGTTTTTGATCTGACTGAAATTCCCCCCTCCAAGGCCTTGCAGCTGTGCATTCTTCTTCCTGATAATTCTTCTCGAGTTCTTGTGTGTGGTGGGGATGGCACCGTAGGCTGGGTCCTGGATGCAATTGACGAAATGAAGATCAAGGTATTTAAATAGTACTGAGACTACTTGACCTCCTATGCTACTATAATGGGACTTTCCCCCAAGGGGCAGCTTTAGTGTCATTGATGTAGAAGTTGATGTACTGGTTTCCTACCAGAATATGGATCATTCTATATTAATAAAAATTTCTTAGATGGGAATTTGCAGTTCTGGTGATGTAGAATAGAAGAATAACTTTGGTTTTAAAGGACTCAGGTTAAAGGGGCAGCTAGGTGGCGCAGTGGATTGAGCACCGGCCCTGAAGTCAGGAGGACCTGAGTTCAAATCCGGCCTCAGACCAAACACTTGACACTTACTAGCTGTGTGACCTGGGCAAGTCACTTAACCCAAATTGCCTAAAAGCCAAAAAATTTTAAAAATTAAAAAAATAAATAAAGGACACAGGTTAATTTCTGAAGTCATTGTCAACTAGGAAAAATTAAATTGAATCTTTTAAGTTTTTTTTTCCCTGTGTTTTCTCCTTAGTATATGCTTTAGCGTAGTAATCTAACTTATACCGTTAACCTTATCATTTTGGACTTTGAATTCTTTCAAACATGGTGACCATAGAAATAATCTAATAGGAAAACCTAAAATCTGTCCATTCCAAATTCTAGGGACAAGAAAAGTACATTCCACAAGTTGCGATCTTGCCTCTCGGAACAGGCAATGATCTAGCCAATACAATGGGCTGGGGCGCAGGATATGCTGGTGAAATTCCGGTGGCACAGATCCTAAGAAATGTAATGGAAGCAGATGGAATTGAACTAGATCGGTAAGGAACAAAAGAAAAGTAAAATTCCTGAGCTTTAGGAGTATTGTTGACATTCAAATCTGAAGAATTGTAGCCATACTAAGCAAACCACAGTTTCAGCACTGAGCAGCAGCATACCAGGTACACTTACATGTTGAGATTTGAGTATGTTTAAAAGTAACACCAGAGAGATAAGAGTGAATCATTGAGATAAAGTATGCGTTCAAAATACTTTATTTCAAAAACATGAACAGAAATGCTGCCAACTTTGTACCACAGAATTGTTTTACATATTAAGACATAATAATGAGAATATTAAGACATTTATTAAAAACCTGTACTAGTTTCTTGAGAAATGGAAAATGTAGATAAAACATGGGCTCACCCTCATGGAGTTTACAGTCTAGTAGGGGAGAAAAGGCAGAAGCACAGATAAGTATAACATAGACATTACATTTTAAGAGCCTTAAAGACTCTCCAAATTTGGTGCTACATGAAGTCCATCGGAGGGAGTTAATGGCTTAGAGTTCAGAGAGTTTACCCCTTGAATTGGGCTTAAAAGGTTAGTAGGATTTTGATAAAGAAGGAATAGAATACATTCTGAACATAGGACTGGAGCCCATTCTATAGAAAGAATTTTTGAAGGGGCTAAAGGAGAGGAGCCTAGGAGGGGGATGTGATGGTTCAAGTAATTAAAGAGTTGTCATGGAAAAGAGGGATTAAATTTGTTCTGCTTGGCTTCAGAGAGAGCTAGGAGCAATGGATTACATAGTCATTTAGGCTTGAAGTAAGGAAAAATATCATCTTGAATTCAAGCCATCCAAAAATGAAATGAACTGTCATGGTCTGTAGTGGATTCCCCATCTTTGGAGTTCTTCTTGCAGAGACTGGTTGACCACTTATCAGTAATGTAGAAGAGAGTCTCAGCCTAGTATCAATTGGACAAGGTGACCTTGAAGGTTCCAGTGGCTCTGAAGAGCACGTAGAAAATCAAGAGAAAAGACCCAGGGTGACCAGAGCATAGGGCTTGTGAAGGGTAGGAATGTAAGCTAAGGCTGCAAATGGAATGGGGTCAGATTGCTTTAAAATATCAAGCAAAGAATTGTCTGTTTTACCCAAAAGAAAGCAGAAGGCAATGGAGCTGAGGGAGTACCTTAGTGATAACCAGTTGGAGTACCTCTTCTTGGGAACAGCTGATCAGGTGCTGATCCCGAGCTTTGAGAGATGGAAGGGAGAGAAAGGGAACAACAGATGTTGTCATGGTGGGTGGTCTTACTCTTTGGAAGAGGAGACAGAGCCATGTGGGGAAAGTATAAAGATGTGTGAGAACATGAAGTGTAGAATAAGGACTTTAATCAGGAAGTTTAGAGTAGAGGGGTTGTCAAATAGCAGTGATGACCGGCGAAGGTTATATACTGTCATTTGTACATCTCCATGTCTAGAAAATGGATGTCCACTTTGTGGCTCTCCCTCATTCAGAGGAAGACAGTGTGAGTGCTGGGGGTAGGGGTGAGAGGCATTGTTTAGAGTTTGTGGGTTCGTAGTTATTTCAATAAGCATGCACGACCTTCATACATTTTCTTAGACACTGTTAGATAATATAGGATCCTTCAATCTCAAGTCTTCTAGATAGTTGTGGGTGAAAAGCACCATGTGACATCTCTTTCTCTTTTAGGTGGAAAGTCCAGATAACGAAGAAAGGATATTACAATTTAAGAAAGCCAAAGGTATGATTTGTGTTCTTCAAAGATGTATATTAGGTGATCATCGGTTTTTGAACTGCCACGTGGATGTCTTTGTTTAGTGTCTTTGTGGTCTGGATAAGTCACTTTTCCTCTCTGGTCCTTAGTTCCTGCTCTGTAAAGGGGGGAGGAATAGATTAGATAATCCCAAAGGCTCCCCAACTTTAAAATTCTGTTATTCAGTATACACAAGTCTCACATGAAAAATAAATATTGTATTACTGTTTTCATTAGGCATGAAGACTAAAACCTCACATACTTGAGTGTGTGGCAGAATCTTGGGCTAAAGAACAGTATGTTACTATTCTTGTTTTTTTTTATTTTTTGGCAGGTGTTCACAATGAACAACTATTTTTCTGTTGGACCTGATGCTCTCATGGCTCTAAATTTTCATGCTCACCGTGAGAAGACGCCATCCCTGTTTTCCAGCAGAATTATTAATAAGGTGTGTTGGATAAAATAACATTTCCTGCTTATTGCTGAAGGTACAGTAAAAATAAACAGTTCCATTCTTATTTGGCATCCTTTGAAATACTGAATTAACTGATAAAAACATTTGTACGCATTCTTCAATGTGTGTAATCATTTAAGATTGTCAAATTGAGTGTTTAATAAAGGGAAAATTTTCCATGAAGTCCAATGTAATTTATAACAACCATCCAATCATTTAAAATGAAAAGTTGGCATATTTTGTTCATAACTTGTTCTGACTAGGTGCCAGAATCACCTAGTCAATAATAATTTTAACCAAAAGAAGTTTTTGGTTAAATAGTATTTACTTTATTGATTAAAAAAAACCAAAAACCATTTTTGTTGAAGTGACAAAAATTTCACAGCAAAAAGAGATGACTTGTTTGCTATGGCCATTAGCCAGTTAACTTCCTCATAGAATCAATCTCCTTTGGAAGTTTTCAACGTGACTTTCAAAGCCTGAGCAACAGAATGTACAAAATAAATGTAAAATATTTTGTTTTGTCTTGTTACACATTTCTGAAACCTTCTCTTTTAAAAGGAGAAAATGTATATATCTTCCTCTCTTCTCCCACCCAGAGCCATCCATGTAACACAGTAGGGAAAAACAGCAGTCAAGTAAAACTAACCCACATGCAGTCTGGCCTGACAGCATGCACCATGTGCCACCTCAGCAAAGAAGGGAAGGGAGGTGCTTGCTCATAGCTGTTCTTTGAGGCAGAGTTTGGCCATTATAATTTTAGAGCATTCAGTTTTAATGGTTTTATTGTAGTTCCTTCTATTTTCCTCACTGTAGCCTTTGTGTATCTTGTTTTCTTGGTTCCAGTTATTTCATTTTGCACTGCAGTTCATGTAAGTCTCCCAATGTTCCCCCTTTTCTTTATGTTCATTGTTTCTTACAACACAGTAATATTCCATTACATTCCTGTACCAGGGGTTTAAGCCTTCCCTTTTGACAATTTTCATTACAAAGATGATTGAGTATTTGCAAGATTTTGAATTATCTCACCTTCTCAAGCACTTCAGCTTTCTGCTTTCAAAACCAATGACAGATTTGCTAGAGTGAAGTGATTTGTTACTTCATTTAAAATACAACTTCATTCATAAATTTAGATATGCCTTTTGGAGTAGAAAAGTGAGTAAAAAATTAATGAATCAAAATATACAGTCATTCAATCAGCAAGTATTTGTTAAGTACCTACTTGTGCCAGGCACTGTCTTAGGTACTGGGGATACAAGTGCAAAGAATGAAATATGACCCCTACTCTCAATGACCATAAAGACGAAGCCATGAACACAACTAAGAAATGTTAAGTCAGTGTTTTACTAAAAGAGTGGTCATTTAACCTGCCATTCCAGAGTTTGCTAGCACTTTTAAACCAACAGTAACATAATAGAATAAAACATGACAATACATTAAAGCTTGTTTCATCTTTCCATTACTTCATCCTGAGTCTCCATTGAAGGCCTTGCTTAAATTCGTCATCCAGAATCTTTTCTTTTTAAGAAAGAAAAGAGTCTTGGGTTGATTTGAAGAGTATTTTTTTCCCTTGGGGAGGAAGGCAGCAATAAACTAGAATTACACAGAAGTTTCACAGTATGGCAGAGAACATCTTTATTTCAGTGTCTCCTCCCTATCATCATACATGAAAGATACAAGGTTAGTGTAGTGTTTTAATATTTAAAATTCTTGCCACATGTTTAATGTTATATTCTCTTTCATTTTTCTATAGGCTGTTTATTTATTTTATGGAACCAAAGATTGTTTAGTGCAAGAATGTAAAGATCTGAATAAAAAAGTTGAGGTAAGGCATTCACATTCCTTCCAGTTCTTATGTTTCTTTTTTTTTTCTTAGAGTCCTGTCCAAAAATGCAAAATTTTGCATTCCCAATGTATCTAGATTTCCAGGGACCCGGTTAGATATCTGGATATTTATCCTTTTTACAAAGTAAAAAATGTAAAAAAAGTTTATTGGCTGTAAAAGTTGTTAGTAATTACCACAGCATAACTGAATCCATCCTCTAATGAAATTTTTTATTGTTATGTATCTACCTTTTTTCTGAACATTGACAGTTTTGTGGTTCAAATCACACAATTTGGCACTTTGTTATATATGCTTAGATTGTTTCTAATTATTGCATGTGTGTTTAGTGTTATACACAGGGGACATGACTCATATAGGATGTAATAGATGCTCAGTAAACTCTTAGAACTTTTGAGGTTATGTCTAAGGTAAGCAAAGAAAATATATTGGAGAATTTGAGAGTTGGAAGGGAAGGAATCCCTACTATAGTATACCCAGCGTGTAATATAGTCCTCAGACATGCATTCACCATGAGTCAGTTTAATCAAGGGATACCCATCCTTAGACTAGTTTTGCTATTGCAAATGTTAATTGTAACTAAGCACTGACCAATTGGAAGGATGTCCCTTGTACATCAGTAGGACAGACGAGTAGTAAATATAATCTCTTTCTCTCTAGAATGTCAGTACTTCCCAAGTGAATTATAGATTCAATGCCCATGGGCATTCCCAATGAATTATAGATTCATGGAAATGCCAATGGGTTTCTTTATAGATAGGGATAGGAACTGGATCTGTGATTTCATTGGTATCAGGAACTCCCAAAAAGGACATTCTACCAGTTCAGATTGGCGTTTTCTCTGTACTTACAGACTAGGAGAGTTGCCTTGAGCATTAAGAGGTTGTGATTTGCCAGGATCACATCCAGTGTGTATCAAAAGCGATGACAATCCAGCCGACCCTGGCTCCAAGACTAGTCCTCTATCCATCATACTCCCTTCTTCTCCACTGTAATCATAATAAACAGTAATTATGCCATATATCTATGGACAAAGATTTTGGATTTTTTTTTAAGCGTGACTTAAGCAAGTACATCTGGGAGCAGTTTATTTCTTAGTTACTCACTACTTGTTGTATCTCTTTAAAGCTAGAGTTGGACGGTGAGCGAGTAGATCTGCCTAATTTGGAAGGAATCATAGTTCTCAATATTGGATACTGGGGAGGCGGCTGCAGACTGTGGGAAGGAATGGGAGATGAGACTTATCCTCTAGCCAGGTACATAAACTCATGTTATCTTGTCAGTGGCTTTTAAAGATCTGTGTCCATTCGAAGTTGAAAAATATTTTCCCTTACAGATTTCTTTTTCTGTTTGTGTATCTTATTTGTGGATAGAGGTAGATTAATAACAGGGATGAGCTGATAGAATTTTGTATGTTGCCAGCCTATTAAAATCAGGCATTGCCTTGAATTGCAATTGACAAAGTAGACTTTTATTTTATAGTCTTATATAATCACTGTTTGCTTTTCCAATTTTAGGCATGATGATGGGTTATTAGAAGTAGTTGGAGTGTATGGGTCTTTCCACTGTGCTCAGATTCAAGTGAAATTGGCTAATCCTGTCCGAATAGGACAGGCACATACAGTTCGGGTGAGTATAATGGAATAGGCTTATCCCTATTCATTTCTTAACTGTCAGTTTAAGGTCACTCTTATATATTCTATTTTTAAAGTAATGTCACTCTTTCTTCAAGTACTTGGAGAATCAGTGATTTATTTTGATGTGGGTTCTCTTTCTTATTGCTCGTCTTCATGAAATGCTGTGCATCACCTAGGAGTGAGCATGGTGCCGAGCCCCACCCATATAGCAAAGACCCTTTCCAACTTATAGGACATGCTCATTTGCCCCTGTCTTGGCCTTCAGAGACCAGAGTTGCCTCTGTGCTGGAAGGAGGTGGCTGAGTTAGACCTGCAGGGGAAGAACATAACATAGGATAGAAAATATAAAAGTTGCGGTTCTAACTAAGTGACTGTGGTTGTTTAACATCGACTGGGTATGTGACCCTGCACTGCATGCTAAGATAGGAACACAGACATAGCCCCTGACCTTGAAGGGGCTCCATTTAGCAAAAACAGCATAAACGTTGGATGGGGAGGGGGGAGATTATAAGAAAGCATATAAGCAGAATGTAGATTATATACAAAATAAATGCCATGGGATTGGAGTGGGTGTTGGGGGGTAGTCACTAAAAATCTAAGTCTCTTAGGAGGTGGCACTGTAATTGGACCTTGAAGTGAACTAGAGGGCCTACTGTGTGCTGGGCACTGTCATAAGCTGTGGGAGTACAAAGACTAAAAGGAAATGGAGATAACATTTATACATAGAAACAAATACCAAATAAAAATAGGGTGATTTGGGAGTAGGGGAGAAGGCCAGCAGCTGGTGAGACTATGAAAGGCTTCATGTTTCTGAATGCTTTAAAGAATACTCAGCATTTTAAGAGGTAGAGGTAAGGAACAGATATTCAGGGCAGAAAAAAGAGGACAGCCAATGCAAACCCTTGGAGACAGGAATTAGGGTATTAGTCATGGGGGAGGGGGACATTAAAGAGGTCCGGTTTGGCTGGATTGTAACATGCATGAGAGGGAGAAATGTCTAATAATGTTGGGAAGGTAGGTTGGGGCCAAGTTGGGAAGAGGTTTTTTTTTTAATGGTTTTTATTTATTTATCTATCTATCTATTTATTTTTGGTGAGGCAATTGGGGTTAAGTGACTTGCCCAGGTTCACACAGCTAGTAAGCGTTAAGTGTCTGAGACCAGATTTGAACTCAGGTCCTCCTGACTCCAAGGCTGGCGCTCTATCTACTGCACCACCTAGCTGCCCCTGGGAAGAGTTTTACATGCCAAACAGAGAGCTTTATATTTGGTCCTAGAGATAAAAGGAAGAAGTTAGAACTTGAGTAGAGAAGTAATGAGGCCAGACCTGTGCTTTAGAGAAATCGTTTGGCAGCCTGTGGAAGATGAATTGGAGAGGGAAGAATGACCAGTGAGGAGACCATTGCAGTCATCCAAGCAAGAGGTGGTTAGTGCCTGAATTAGGATGGAAGCTATGTGAAGAGGGAAGGCACAGACAAGAGAGATGTGGAGATAAAAAAAACAAGATTCAGGGGCTGTGTGTGTTGGCTGAGGAGTGGACAATGTTCTAAGAGGAGAACAAGCTTATACCCCACCACCCCCCAAAAAAAAAAAATGGAAGCAGGAGATGGAATGTCACATACTGAAACATCAGCTAGGCCAATGTGACTGGAACCCAGAATCTGGAAAGATAGGCTGGAACCATGTTTTGAAGGGCTTTAAATGCCCAAAGTGGGGTTGTCTTATGTCTTAGAGATAATAGAGAATCACTGATAGTTCTTGAGTATGGGTATGGTGTAGTGAGACCTGTGGTAGAAACATGTGGCCAAGGAGTCAGATGTTACTGAGATGGCTCAATAACAACAACACTGCATGAGTTAACGTGGAACTGTTGTGGACTTAAATACTCAGAAGCTTAGGGTTGGAAGGGACCAGAAGGTTCTTCAACCACTGGTCTATAAAATGTTTACTACCAAAGATACTTGACTTTTTTAAAAATTATTAATTTATTTATTTTTAGTTTTAAACATTCACTTCCCTAAGATTTTGAGTTTGAAATTTTCTTCCCCTCCCCCCTTCCCAAGACAGTGTGCAGTCTGATATAGGCTCTACATATGCATTCATATTAAACATATTTTCACATTAGTTATGTTGTAAAGAAGAATTAGAACAAATGAGAGGAACCATGAGATAGAAGAAACAAAAAGAGAGAGAGAACAAATAATATGCTTTGATCTGCATTCAGTCTCCATAGTTCTTTTTCTGGATGTGGATGGCACTTTCCATCGTGAGTCTTTTGGAGTTGTCTTAGAGCCTGGCATTGCTGAGAAGAGCTAAGCCTGTCACAGTCAGTCATCACACAACGTGGCTGTTACTGTGTACAGTGTTCTTCTGGTTCTGCTCACTTCACTCAGCATCAATTCTTGTAAGTCTTTCCAGGTTTTTCTGAAGTCTGCTGTTCATCATTTCTTATGTAAAAATAGTATTCCATCACATTCATATACCACAACTTGTTCGGCCATTCCCTTATTGATGGGCATCCCCTCAATTTCAAATTCTTGGCCACCACAAAAAGAGCTGCTATAAATATTTTTGTACATGTGAGTCCTTTTCCCATTTGTATAATTTCTTTGGGATACAGACCTAGAAGTGCTATTGCTGAATCAGAGTGTATACAGTTTTATAGCCCTTTGGGCATAGTTCCAAATTACTCTCCAGAACGATTGGATCAGTTCACAACTCCACCAGCAATGCCTTACTGTTCCAATTTTCCCACATCTTCTCCAACATTTATCATTTTCCTGTTTTCTCCTGTTAGCCAATCTGATAGATGTGATGTGGTACCTCAGAGTTGTTTTGATTTGCATTTCTCTAATCAATAGTGATTTAGAGCATTTTTTCATATGACTATAGATGGCTTTAATTTCTTCATCTGAAAACTGCCTTTCATATCCTTTGACCATTTATCATTTGGGGAATGACTTGCATTCCTATAAATTTGACTCAGTTCTCTATATAGTTTAGAAATGAGGCCTTTATCAGAGACACCGGTTGTAAAAGTTGTTTCCCTTCTTTTTGCTTCCCTTCTAATCTTGGTTACGTTGGCTTTGTGCAAAAACGTTTCAATTTAATGTAATCAAAATTGCCCATTTTGCATTTCATAATGTTCTCTATCTCTTGTTTGGTCATAAATTCTTCCCTTCTCCACAGATCTGATAGGTAAACTATCCCTTGCTCTCCTGGTTTGCTTATAGTATCAGTCTTTGTATCTAAATCATGTACCCATTTTGACTTTATCTTGGTACGGGGTGTAAGATGTTGGTCTCTGCCTAGCTTCTGCCATGCTCTTTTCCAGTTTTCCCAGCAATTTTTGTTAAATAGTGAGTTCTTATCCCAGAATCTGGAGTCTCTGGGTTTATCAAACAGATTACTGTAGTCATTTACTGTGAATTGTGTACCTAACCTATTCCACTGATCCACCACTCTATTTCTTAGCCAGTACCAAGTAGTTTTGATGTTTACTGCTTTATAATACAATTTAAGATCTGGTATGGCTAGGCCAAAAGGTACTTACTTCTTGAGACTTATAAACAAAAAAACCCACCTAACTTCTGTTTGTCCAACCCTAGCACTCTCATTTCCCCAAGTTCCTAGTCCCTTCTTACCTACCTCCCCCCCCCAACTGCTACGAGCCACCTCCTTAGACGCTAGAGACTAGAGTAATCCAAGGTAAAAATTTTAGATATTATCCTTCTTCAATATAGTTTGGATAGAGAAACATTAACATAAGTCCAGGGACTCCCACATGACCTCTGGATATATTTCAGAGGAACTTAAATGAGGGGGGGGGAAATATGATCTTTTTTTTTTTCCACTAACCTCTAACTAAAATTTATCATTTTCTTCAGTCTTGAATGTTAGGCAACAAATATTAATCTGAGAATGGATCCATGGGTCTATGACTTAAAAAAAGGTTAAGAATCCCTGTTGTAATCCAACCCCTACATAACTCTCAAATTCCCTCTATGACAAGTAGTTATCCTGCTTCCTTTTAAACACATCTGTTGATGGAACAATTCACTATAGTTGGATAAGCATTAGTAAAGACTTCTGTGGACTGCCAATAATGACTTATTTTCTTCTAATTCTGCCCCCTACCCTAATCTAGTTGATTTTGAAGAGCTCAAAGATGCCAATGCAGATAGATGGAGAGCCTTGGACCCAAGGGCCCTGCACAGTTACCATAACTCATAAGACACGTGCAAAGATGTTGTATTATACTGGGGAGCAAACCGATGATGATGCCTCCAGCACATCTGAACAGGAGCACACCCAGGAGACTGAAGCTACTGATGAAGACATGTGACTGTCTACACACGGCCAACCAGCGAGAGCTTAGTCCACTCTTCAGTTTCTTTAGAATGTTGTCAGCACTGTTTAAAAAAAAAAAAGACATTCTGAAGAAAGCTAAGCTTATAGTTACTTGAAAAGGCTCAATGTTTTGTTTCAGTGAAATACTTCCATTGTATGCTCTTCAACTAAAAGTTATAGGAAGTTAGGCCATTTGCAAAATGTATTTTTTGTTCATTGTATGTTTTTCAATGAGAGGGATTCATTCTTTTAAGTCTATACTGTCTCATTCTTTTTTCTTGTAGCATATGTCTGGTATGCACATTTTATGTGTATCAGGGTGTGATCTGAAAAAAATAGTTCTTTTCCTTTATCATTTTTTAGTTGATAACATTGGAACATTTAAAAACTTATCTATTTTATGGAAATGCACTGATTTAAGCTAGGACTGCATGAAATTAGACACTGATAAAAATGTCCATTTACTTGGCTGCACTTTGTTTAACTGAAGATTCCTGTATCACCAAGTAGAGGGTTCATCCACAAATACTAATTCTAAGGAAACTTTAAAAGGACTGCCATTAAAAAAAGATTACATTTTATTTTAGGATCATTTTCTGACATCAGGCCAGAGACTGTATTTTAATTAGTTAACCAATGATGATAACTTAAGAGTTTGGTTTCAGAATCCCTGTAACATTTATATAGCCAAAAAACACTAGAAGTGAATTGGGGGGGGGGAAACTGTAATTGAACACTTTGTATGAACACTGTCAAAACTCACTGTCCATTGAAATCTGTGCTTGTCACTTCATTCTCTTCCAGATGGTAATTTAAAGAGACATTGAAATTTAAAGGTAGATTTTAAAATTGCAAGTGAAATGTGTTAAACAGGCATTGTCCAATAAGAATAATTGATGCATTTCACATGCAGCAGCAAATTTTAAGGGCAAAATGCAGGAGTGTGCTAAATAGGCATTTTTAATATTCTTAGATACCTTGAAATATAGTGTTCTTGATGTTTTCCCATTTAAAAAAAATGATGCATAACTGTTTACATCTTCTGATTTGTTTAAAATAAGAAATATATGTGTATATTTTACTTATTTATTTGCCTGGTATGTGCAACACATATCAGTTTATTTAATACACTGTGGTAGCTACTTCTGTTAGGTCGAAATTTATTGGATAGAAATTAAATCCAGCCCGGTGACTGCTTAAGGAAATCCATAGCCTTTCCCGGGATGGGAGACCATAGCTTACCTAAATATTATTGTTCTCCAATTGTAGCCTTCCTAAAAGCTCAAAAAGAAAGAATTAAAAGCACTAGCAAGTGACTTTTGGATAACTGACACATCTGTAAACCATTGTTTGCATTATATTGTGTTACTGGGCTCTTGCATTTATCTGTCTATCCTGGCAAACTTGTTTGAGAGGACCGTGCTAAAGGACTGGTCCTAGAGTTGCCCAGGAGGGCAATTTTGGCCCCAGCTGCTGCTCACAACTGCAAGCAGACCAGCCTTCTGGTTTTCCATCCAGCCTCTTGTGTCCTGACAGTTTTTAAAAGAGGCACGTTTGTTTCTCTTTGCATCAGCCTCAAAATATTAGGAACGTACCCCTGACACCACAAACACTCCTTGCTTCTCTTAATAATTGAACAAGTATATGTGTGTGTGTAAAATCAGAAATTTTTTAAAACCCATTCTTGAACCTACTCCTATTTCCAGCCCAGACTGTCTTTAGAGAATAGTGAGCTACATGTGCTTTTTTTTTTGTCCTAACTTTATCTCTTCCAAGTTTCAAGGAGTGAGCACTGATTCTGGTCTTTGGAGATTTAGTGAAGGACTTGATCATGGTAGTGATAGAATTTCACGGTTTGGTTTTTTGTTTTCTTGAACAGATTAATCATGTATGAGTATAATGAAATTAGGTGTATGATCTGATCCATAATCAAAATTCTATCCGGGGCCACTAGCACATTTCATATTTTCCTGTGACTAATGCACAAGGTTGAAGCATCCTTTTCCTGAAATTCATGGTGCAAAGAGTAGGGGCAAGGAAACTAGTTAATTGAATGTTTCTCTCAACACTGTCTCACATCCATAATTTTCTCTCAAGCAGTCATAGTCAGAAGTCAAACCACTGCATAAAATAAACTTTAAGAACTGTTCTTTAAGCAAGATCACCTAGTGAATTTTGAAATAGCCCTACATCTTAACTAGTTCATCTGAATTCATTCTCTTTCCTCATACGTAACATTTTCCAGTGTCGTTTACACTGTCACTCAGGTGAAGATTTTAAACAAAATTTGTTGTTTGAAAAGTTGTCATGGGATGTTACTGTGTATTAAGGAGGAAAAATGTCTTACAAAAAGTATTTTAACAAGGTATGCTTAAGCCTTTGGACACACGGCAAAGAAGTATAAATGTACATACAAGTGAACTTCACTTTAAGAAAATCTGATTAAGAAAGTCTAGAGTGGCAGAGCCTGGTCTTGAGAGCAGAATTTGCATCACAAGGATGTTTCATTTCACAGAACTGTTCACTGTGCACTCTCCTAGTTCATTTTTTAAAATGCTTTTATATACTTCCCTTCCTAAAAAAATCAACTTATAATTTCTCAGTAAGAGAACATTTGTGCAAAATGAGTACATATCCAAATTCCTGTCATCTTTCACTGTCCTGATACATCCCTAATTCCTAATACATGTAGTTATTTGAAAACTCGAGGCACTCATGCTTCCCTTTGCTGTGAGCTTTAGATAAATAGGACTATAGTCATTTAAGATTTTTTTTCAAGTTAAGTTGGACTGTTTTTTTACAAAAGAGATTATCTGATATTAAGAGTACCAGCAGCTTTTGTTTTATTATCTGAAATGTTTGTTTTCTGTAGTCATTAATGGTGAATTTACTAACATTTTTAGAATTTTTATAGTCAAAGTGGTTTATTTTTGTTGTTTTAAGGTCTGTCATAGAAATGTATAGTAATTGTATTTTGAAATACAGTAGCTTACTTGGTATTGTAAAATACTGTGACTCAGAAGCTAAGTCCTCTTTGCCATGTAAACCCCAAAACTACCAGCATGTCAGAAGTGAAAATGTATTCCTTTTTTTGGAAATACTTTACAGTTGTAATATAAGTAAATTTTTTTATTTTGATATGTATTATGAAATTCTAGTATTGCATTAAATAGAATGACTTTTAAAGCTCTATCATTTTACAGATTAACGTAGGTCTGAACGCATAACTTTTGTTTGTCCCAAATGAGCAGTGAGAGGGGTGAAGTTTCCATGCCTTCCTCCAACACTGAATGTTGATGGAGGAGAGAGAATCAGCACTTTATTTAGAGATAAACCTTTCTAGGAAATCTAAGGAGATAAAGAGTATGGCATAATGGAGTTAAAAAAAAAAACTAAGCAGAAACTTAAAAGGAGGGAGGAAATGCCCTTTTACTCCAGCCCAACCTCTGTAAAACTGCATTCCCAAACAAAAATGCGGAGTGTGATTTGTTTTGCTTTGTATTTTAAAGAAATTGACAAACTTGCTGTTGTACTTGCCCTCAGGGCCTGTGTTCCCCATATCCTGTGCAGAAGAACCTGAAAGCACATCAGGTGCACTTAATTTGGTTGAAAAAACTGGCAACTTTCCTTTTTCCTCAAACACCAAAAGTGTTCTAAGACAAGGTGGGGGAAGGGGAATGTGTTTAATAGAAAACATAAAATATTGTATGATTGGTAACTGGTGACTTGTGTACAGTTATTTTTCGCTTCTCATTCTTTTATTTGCCCTTTGATTTTTCATTTATATTAATGAGTTTTTTCTCTTGTTTTACTTTGGTTTTGTTTGAGGTTCTCTGGAGCAGTGGTGGATTGACCACTTCCTAACGTTATATTTGTTGAGTAGTAAAGCACTGGTTTAAACCTCTTCTTCCTTTGTTCTAGTAAAGTGCAGAAGTGATTCATTTGTTTTCTATTATTTTTAGATGTATAAATTAATATATATTTATTTATTTAAAATACCACTGACTATCCATCAGTTAACTGCTGCATTCTGCTTTTGTTATGTTGGGTCTGTACTGTTGTGTTGTATAAGACAGCAAAAATGTGAATTAAAACATTTTAATAAACTTTGGGCATGAATTACTTATTTCTTCAGAAGAATAAAACTATACCTTAAAAAAAGTTTGGTCTTGCAATATATTTTGACATCGTTACAGACACCGGTTGAATAGCCAAAATGATTTGGATTCAGTTAAAATTCGTAAACAACTTTGATAAGTTCCATTGCCTATCATGATGAGTTCTACGTTACCTACTTTTGGGGTTAGAAGGGATGTAGGTTTATGAGACATGTGGAAAAGATATAAAAAAAAATAGAATATTGGTTGTTGTCTTTCATTCTGGAAGAAGACAAATGACATCACTATGCTAGAGTCAGGTTTCAGTGTGTCTGACTGTGACTGATCAGACCAATAGGAGCTCAGAATGTTCTACCACAGCTTGGGCACAAATAGTCCATGTGAACATTTGGGGTGGATTTTCCAAGTCTGCACATCTTGCATTTCTCTTGAGCTGTTTCAATTCTGCTTTGTTCATAGAGCACAGCACCTTCTCTGATGTGGGCACACCATGCTGAGCAGTCCTGTACCAGTGTCTTCCATGTCATACAATCAACTCCAGAGTTCTTAAGAGAGACCTTAAGAGTGTCCTTGTATCACTTCTTCTGACCACTATGTGAACACTTGCCCTGTGTGAGTTCTTCATAAAATAGTCTTTTTGGCAAGCATGCATTTTGCACTCAAACAACGTGGCCAGCCCATCGGAGTTGTGCTATCTGAAGAAGAGTTTGAATGTTTGGCAGTTTAGTTTGAGAAAGGACCTCAATGTCTGGTATCTTATCTTGCCAGGTGATCTTCAGAGTCTTCCTAAGACAATTCAAATGGAAGCAATTCAGTTTCCTGGCATGGTGCTGGTATACTGTCCAGGTTTCACAGGCATACAACAATGAGTTCCGCACAATGGCTCTGTACACCTTCAGTTTGGTAGTCAGTCTTATAACTCTTCTGTCCCCCATGCTTTCCTTTGGAGCCTCCCAAACACTGAGCTAGCTCTGGCAATGCGTGCATCAACCTCATTATCAATGTGTACATCCCTAGGAAGTACACTACCAAGATAAGTGAACTTATCCACAGCATTCACAATTTCTCCATTTGCTGTAACCGATGGTTCCACATATGGATGGTGTGGTGGTGGCTGATGGTGCACCTATGTTTTCTAGGTGTTAATTGTTGGGCTAAAATTTGCACAAGCAGCAGAGAATCGATCCATATTTTGTTGCATCTCAGCTTCAGAGGCTGCATTGAGTGCACAATCATCTGCAAACAAAACTCCCTCCACTTTGGTCTTGGCTTATAGCCTTTTCAAGTTGAAAAATTTACCATCAGTGTAGTGTAGCTGACCTTGATGCCATGTTCATCCTCATTGAAAGCATTTCACGACATGGCTGAAAGTATGCTAAATATCATGGGAGCAAACACACAGCCTTGTTTCACTCCATTGGTGACTGGGAAAGCACGAGAGCGTTGTCCATTATCCGGAACCTAGGCAAGCATGCCATTGTGAAATTGTACAATGCTCGTGAACTTGTCTGGGCAACCAAATTTTTACATAATTTTCCATAAGCCCTCATGACTGACAGTATCAAAAGCCTTGATCAGATCTATAAACGTTTTGTACATACCTATTCTGCTCCTGGTGTTTCTTGGGGAGTTGTCAGGCAGCAAACACGATATTGACCATTCCTTGGCCCTTTCTGAAGTCACACTGGCATTCAGGTAGATGACCATCTTCCAGGTGAAGGATCAGCTTATTAATGAGGACTCTGGTAAGGATCTTGCCAGCACTAAGAGAGAGACACCCCGCCCCCCACCCTGTGATTGTCACAGGACAATATTTCCTTCACCTTTATAGAGATAGACAATGGAGGCAGACTTGAACTCCTAGGGGTAACCTCCTCTTGTCCTATAACCTGGAAAATTTCAGTCAGCTTTTACATGAACAGTGGAACCCCTACCTTGTAAATTTCAGCCTGAATAGAATCAGCATCAGGTGCTTTGGCACATGAAAGGAGCCTAATGGCTTTCAAAATCTCTTTTTCAGTTGGAACTTTAGGTAGGGAGGAATTAACATCAACCTGAGGTAAATGGAAATCTTCAGCCCATCTCTCTAGGATCATGTCCTTATCACTAATCAATGTGACTCCATCAGCACTGAGTAGTTCAGATGGACCCGTAGGTCTTTGGCCCATAAATAGCCTTCAGGGCATCATAAAAGTGCTTTGGATTGTTACTATCAGCATAACTCAGATTTTCTCTGCCTTTTTACTGAGCCAAGAATCCTGCATCTCTCTAATCTTTCCTTGTACTTTTGATGGAATTAAATGTTGCCTTCTTAGAGATGGATGAACTATCCTGCTGGTAAACCCTGTGGAGTTCTCATTTTTCATTTAGCAGCTTCTGAATTTCCTCATCATTTTCTTCAAACTAGTTTTGATGTTTGGGAGTGTTCTGACCCATATGAGTAAATGCAGTGCTATGCACCAAATCTCTGAAAGCTGCCTACTCCTTTTTTGCTCCACTGTTGCCAGCCATGTGTTGGCTCACTTTTCCTTCTAAGTTAGCAACTGTTCACACTTAGAGAAGCACTCTGATCTGTTGACATTAAGTCTTCTGGTAGTCATCTTGCCTTGGGACTGCCATTTATGTTTAGCTTGGAGAGGATAAGTCTATGATCAGTCCAGAACTCTTTGCCACACATTGCCTTCACTCACCTCCTGCTGGTCTCTCCTTATAACGACATAGTCTATTAAATGCCGATGTTAACTGCAAGGGTACATCCACAAATTTTTATTGCATTTAGGTCATCAGAAGACAGTGATGAGTCATGAGACACACAAGTCTTCAGTAGTAAGTTGCTGTTGCTGTTTCTGACTCTATTCCTCCCAAGGATTCCCTGCCATGTCTATGCCTACCCTGGCAGTAATATCACCCAGTGGATGACCTTGGTGTCTTCAGTATCTAACCAAGCTCAAAGCACATCACAGCACCTGCTTCAGCTGCCTTCATGGAACAGAATATTATCTGCCCATTCCACCAGGAGAAGTCTTTACATGTTGGGGTAGACATTCCCCCAGATTTGAGACTCCTCAGTTACTCTCAGTCTGGTTTAGCCCATGTGCCAAAATGGTTTACTGGGATGTGGCTGCTGCACATGCTACAGCTTCTTGGAGCCACAGGTGAGAGTTAGGTGCAACAGGCGGACACCAAAGGTGGAAAGCAGCCATGAAAAGGGCACAGCAGCCTTCACACCAGAGGGACTAGTCTTCTCTGAACACACCTTCTATGCCACAGCACTTTGTAAATCTCAAAGAACTATGTAAATGTTGACTTATTATTACCATTAAGTCCCTATAGGGGCAGCTGGATGGTACAATGGATAGAGTACCAGGTGGGTGTGGAGTCAGGAATAGTCATCTTCCTGAGTTCAAATCTGGCCTCAGACACTTCCTAGCTGTGTGACCCTCAGCAAGTCACTTAACCCTATTTGCCTCAGTTACCTCATCTGTAAAATGAGAAAGAGAAGGAAATTGCAAACCACTCCAGTCTCTTTTCCAAGACAGGCCCAAGTGCAGTCATGAAGACGCAGATATGACTAAACAGCTGAACAACCACCACCAGCCAAGGTTGTTGTGAAGGTCAAAAGCCGATAACAGACTGATGTACTCAACCCCCTCATAAACTGTTGCCAACCAGCCTCGTGCAGTAGTGGCTCCAGTCAGGCAAGGGAAGTTAGAGCTTAGTAATGAGCATAGCAGCCATCAATTTAGCCCTTATGGTTTATTAATGTTCTAACTGTGCCAGTCAATCTGGGAGGATTATTTTGTTGAAACTTACTTTATTTTGTGGTATATATTTTAAAGATAAAAATATAAAAGATGAACCAAAATGTACTGATAAAAATAAAAGAATTTGTTCTATAAAATTTGGATTCAGTCAAAAGGCTGCCCTTAAGGACCCAGAAGGCCACAGGTTCCCCACCCCTGGCCCAGGGCAAACAGGCACCCTCTAGTGGCCAGACCTCCATATGCTTCAGTGTAGCTGTGGGGAAACAGAAAAACCCCATTGATCCTCAGCACATGCTAAACACCACCACCAGGAACCCAGTTCAGTACCAGGAAAGCTACCAGACCCCTATGGCCTCCAGCAGCACCAGCCACTCCCTTAACACAGCACCAGACGTGAGGGTGCCCCAAGGGCCTCAGGGCAACATTAGCACAGCACCAGGTAAGCAGCCAGGGCCTATAGCCACTGGCACAAGTAGCCCAAGACAGAACCCCTTCCACCCTGGAAGCAGAGATCAAATTTAAAAGAAAGGAAAAAGGCAAAAAGAAAGAAAGATAAAGGAAAGGAACAAAACTAATAATCTGACCATAGAAAGTTATTATGGTGACAGGGAAGACCAAATTACAAACTCAGAAAAGGACAACAATGTCAAAACACCCATGGGCTAAACTCCAAAGAAAAATGGGAAGTGGTCTCAAGCCCAGAAGGAACTTATGGAAAAGCTCAAAAAGGAACTTAAAAATCATATGCGAGAAGTAGAAGAAAAATTGCAAAAAGAAATGAAAGTGATGCAAGAGAATTATGAAAAAAAAAAGAGTCAACAGCTTGGAAAACTGCTTAAAAAGTAGAATTGGCTAAATGGAAAAGAACATATGTCATTCTTGACCTCGCTAGCATATTTATGAGTTTCTTGCCCCAATAGCAACCATAATCCATTTAACCTACAAAGCTACTAAGTGTAACCATGATCCATTAACTCACATAGAAGTTAAGTGACTTGCCCAAGGTCACACAGCTGTTAAGTGTGACACAGGATTTGAACTCAGATCTTCCTGGCTGCAGCTCTCTTGCCTGTGCAACAGGTATTTGCCTAGTATTAATATTTTTCTTTTACAATTGAAAAGTGATAGGAAAATAGCAGAAAACTCCAAAATAACCCAATTGTGAGGACATATTAAACTTGACTGTAGCTTTTTTTTTTCCTTTTTAATTTCCCTGTAATTTTAAGCTGAGGTATTAAGTCAAGTGTTTGCCTCAAATTGTTAAGGAGTACATCAGTG